TCAGAGACCGCTCAACACCGTTCGGTATTTTTCACCCACGGAAAAGAATCATTTTTCCCCGAGCCCGTAGGGGCCAAAAAAATAGCCTTTTGAATTAAACGGGTTCAGGCCCTATCGGTTTTTCCCCGGACGAAACCTTGCCCTTCGGCAAAGCCTTCCTCCGAGCCAGGAGGCGTAGGAGACCGCGGCGGTATTTATCTTTTTCAAAAAAAATAGCCAAGGCCGGTTTTTGCCGATTAGACAGGTTCAAATAGCCTTTTGAAGCCGATTAAACCCGGACGAAACCTCCCCGGACGCCCCTTCGGCAAAGCTTCGTCCGGGTTCCTCTCTGCTAATGCAGAGTTCGACAAGGCGTGCGCAGTCAGAGACCGCTCAACACCGTTCGGTATTTATCTTTTCACCCACGGAAAAGAATATGGCACAAGGCCGGTTTTTATGTGGGTTTCCCCGAGCCCGTAGGCTCGGCCGAAAATAGCCTTTACCTCCCCGACGAAACCTTGAAAGCCGATTAAAGAGTTCGGGTTCAGAGACCGCAGGCACCGTTCTACCTCCCCACGGACGAAAAGGCCTTTTTATGTGGGTTTCCCTTCGGCAAAAAAAAAATAGCCTTTTGAAGCGTTCAACCTCGAAACCTTGCCTTCGGCAAAGAGTTCGACAGGAGGTTCGTCCGCAGTCAGAGACCGCGAGGCACCGTTCGGTATTTATCTTTTCACCCACGGAAAAGAATATGGCACAAGGCCGGTTTTTATGTGGTTTCCCCGAGCCCGTAGGCTCGGCCAAAAAATAGCCTTTTGAAACCGATTAAACGGGTTCAGGCCCTGTCTACCTCCCGGACGAAACCTTGCCCTTCGGCAAAGCCTCGTCCGGTTCCTCTCTGCTAATGCAGAGAGTTCGACAGGAGGCGTCCGCAGTCAGAGACCGCGAGGCACCGTTCGGTATTTATCTTTTCACCCACGGAAAAAGAATATGGCACAAGGCCGGTTTTTATGTGGGTTTCCCGAGCCCGTAGGCTCGGCCAAAAAAAATAGCCTTTTTGCCGATTAAACGGGTTCAGGCCCCTGCCTACCTCCCCGGACGAAACCTTGCCCTTCGGCAAAGCCTCGTCCGGGTTCCTCTCTGCTAATGCAGAGAGTTCGACAGGAGGCGTCCGCAGTCAGAGACCGCGAGGCACCGTTCTGCCAGACTTGCCACTGCTACTCCTACTTATTATCTAAGGGAGAGTCCATTACAATAGAATAGGTACTATGGCATAACACAGTGTTATTTTCATTTTTGCGTCATTTAGACGACAAATCATGGGTTTGAGAAAATTAGAAAACAGAAACATTATTTAGGAGCGTGGACAATAGAAAAGTATTCAGATTAATTGATAACGATTGACATTGCATTTAAATTTTGGAAGGTCAGAGTTTCAAGCATGGAAATCATGGAGATGGAAGAGAGTACCACAAGCGAGAAGTGCGAGAAAAGAAACTGTCGGCATAGAATTTACGGTTACATCTAGCCAATTCCATTGCAAATTGATGAGATCTTGATGACAATCCATTATTGCGCTTAAGCGTAAAAAGTCTAGGTCAATTACCATGAAAGCATTTATAGAAAAGGCACAGGAAGCAACTTTACGACGGTGAAAAAATGACTGAAACCAAGGTGCCAGGTCAAGACCAATAATATTGCAGATTCTTTGGATATTATCAAGGATGTTAATAGCAGGAGTACCAGACCAGATGTGGCAGAAATGTTCTAGTAATGGACGAATGGTAGACATAGATATAAAAATAGATTCAGGAGAATGTATTTATGTAAAATATGCACCAGTTTTCTTTTGAATTATTTTTAATAAAGCAAATTGAAAATTATTAAATTAGTTTTAAAAACATATTTTAGAATGTAGATTTACTTTACTAAAAATAATTAAAAACAAAAACTGCTTAATTTTTTTTGCATTTTTCGATTTACTTTATTATAAAATTTAAAAAAAAATTATTTTATTAAAAATAATTGAAAACAAAAACTGCTTTATTTTGTTTTACATTTTTCGATTGACTTTATTAAAAAATAATTAAAAACAAAAAACAACTGTTTTCGTATTTTGCATAACGCCTTTTCAAAAGCCTTATTTGAAGAAAAATATTCACGAATTAAGTTCAGTCAGTTATGTGTCATGCGTGATACACGCTTAGGCGATCATATATATTTCGGTACATGACTGACGAGGCAGATTTTTTTCCTCGCAATAGGTTGCTATTTCTTTCTGCGGTAGACCAGTTGCCATTCAAGGCTATAGAACCCGCTCCGTCCTGCTATTTATCCATAGCTGGGAGGAGAGGAAGAGGTTTTATACCTTTCCTAAGGGTATTAGCACGTAAGTGAATGTAATGGATTCGACCGAAATGTTCCATGCGTGATACATGCTTAGGCGACCATGTATCTTTCGGTAAATGGCTGACGAGGCAGATTTTTCCCGCAGTAGATTGCCATTTGTTTCTTCAGTAGACCGGTTGCTATCCAAGTCTACAGAACCCGGTCTGCCCTGCTATTTACCCATAGCTGATTGGTGGGGGAGAAGAAGAGGATTCATACATTTTCCCAAGGGTATTAAGGGAATGTAATGGATTCTACTGGAATTCGAACCCTATCTATTTTCCCACCGTGCCTCCACTAATTAAGTTATTAATCCTTAATAAATTACTTTTATTTGGTTATAAAAAAAAGTTATGTTTTTTGGTGCTGAGTTGTCTCGGTCCTGAGTTGTCTCGGCGCTCAATTGGAGGTGTTGAGTCGGCGGTGTTGCGAGGGCGGTGTTGATTTGGCAATGTTGAGTTGTCCTGCATCCTCTCTCAGTGCTTTGGTACTTGAAGGTTTTTTTTCGGCAATTGTGTTTTTGACAATTTCCCATGGACAATCCAGTATGTTTTGAAAGAAGTGTAGCAATCCTATTGTAGATATTGATCATTCAAAATCTTCGCACTTTATATTTTTTTAAGTTCACCAAGTATAAGGCATGAGAACCACTCAAGGTAGAAATTACCGTTAAAATGGTTGGGATGAATGAGATGTGTCGTACGAATGAATGAACAGGGATTAGGAGAGATAGCGAAAAGGGAAAATTTATTCAGAGCTACAAAGGAGAGGAAATTGTGGAGAGCAATGACCGCCAAAGTCCTGAAGGCACACAAGAAGAAGAAGAAGAAGAAGAAGAAGAAGAAGAAGAAGAAGAAGAAAGTATATGACAGGAGTTGCCAGAACGAAGTTGAATATAATATCGGACTCTCTTACGGTCTCCGGTTCCGGATTTGTCCTCGGAGTTTACTCCCAAAGCCTGAGTATGTCCGTAAGGCAACGGAGGTTCAAAATTAGAGTTTTCCTTCTCTTAGATGGACTACCCTACCGGGATGACAAGTTCCATCTCCCGGAACGTGACAATAAAACTCATTGATAATAAAAAAAATATATATATATATTACAATTAGCAGAACTTAATCTTCTCACAAAACATTTACTTTCATATAATTCCGTACTTAATTACCCTGATTTTAAGTCGATATATAAAATGTCTTGGTTGTTTTGATTGTTTTTGTTTAGTGGCATATCAACATCTCCATGGGTTTTTTTTTTAAAAATGCCGAAATGTAAATATTTTGAGCACAATTTTATGGCTTCAACTAAATATTTTGAACTTTATTGTATGCCTCCAACTACAGATAAAAAATATTGTTGGTCATTTGGCTATAAAATGTATTCTTGGTAAATTTACTACAAAATAGATTATTTACATTATTCGGACTATTGTTCTCATCTTTGTCGCCATTTTATTACAAAGTTTCGGCCTTTCAATACTGTCTAAAATAGATTATTTACATTATTCGGACTATTGTCCTCATCTTTGTCGCCATATTTATTACAACATTTCGGCCTTTCAGTATCTGTCTACATTTCTGAGATGAGGTATTATGTACATTATTTACATTATTCGGACTATTGACCTCATCTTTGTTGCCAGATTCATTACAACGTTTCGGCCGTTGTACGCTCCGGTCTTTTTCAACGTTGGTTGGTTGGAATGTCGAACTGAACCCTTCATTTCGAACTGCCATGGGATGCCAGACTTATCTCCTGTTTTTTCCTTTCCACTGCCTTAACCGGCATTGAACTGGGTCCTGTCACGGATCTAACCAACGACCTTATCCACTGTTTAATGTTGGTTTTGTTATCAGCTGTTAATTTCAACATCTCCATGAAAGTTCTCCACTTTTATGCCTTAACCGGAACGTATTGAACTCACAACTACAGATTTTGTTGGTCCTGTCACTATAGGATCTAACCAAAATAGCCCTTATCCACTTTTGTTGCCATTCATTACAACGTTTCGGTTTTGGTTTAGTTTCGAACTGAACCCTTCATTTTTCGCTCAACAGTTCCACGTTTAATGGATGTCAGTTATCAGTTATCTGCTGTTAATTTCCCTCTGAAAAGTTCTCCACCGTTTTTTTTGATCCTGTCACTGGATCTAACCAACGCCCTTATCCACTGTGCCATGTTGGTTTTGTTTAGCGGCATATCAACATCTCTATGGTTTTTATTTAAATGCCGAAATGTAAATATTTTGAGCACAATTTTATGGCTTCAACTAGATATTTTGAAAAAAATATTGTTGGTCATTTGGCTATAAAATGTATTCTTGGTAAATTTACTACAAAATGTTGGTTTTGTTTAGCGGCATATCAACATCTCTATGGGTTATTTTATGCCGAAATTTAAACATTTTTGTACACTATTTTTATTTTATGTTCGGAGATAATAACGGTTTAGTGACACATATCTTACTAATTAACCCCTAGCTGGTGGAGGGGGGGAGAAGAGGTGGATTCATACCTTTCACAACAGTATTTGCGCGTAAATGATTATAACAAACCTGACTGAAATTGGAACTCGGCTCTCTGAGTAACAATTCCGAGTCATTATCCATTACACCACCCGCATATCCAAGCCTATAGTTAATATTCCCAAGTAGTTACCCATCTAGGTACTGACCAGGCTCGAATTTGCTTAATTTCGGTGATCGTATTGGAAACAGTGTTTCAACGTGATGTGGCCGTAAGCTAAAATATCTTGGAATATTCTAAAGAAGTTGACAGCGAGATAAATAGATAAAATGGCCGCCCGAATTAATATGAAGGATTTAGGAAGATACAACAAAAGGTTTGGAGGATTTTTCAATGAAAAAGAAGAAACCATAAATAATTTCTGTGTCGCATATTGATTCCCCAGAAAACAAATATATATATAACTTAATATATGTCTGAGTTAATTTAATACTTACAATACTCTTTTACCTATCGAAAGTACGTATTGTCTATCGATAAGAATTATCTATTTGCAGATATTGAATAGTTAAACGAAATACAAAAATAAAGATGGCTAAAACGTAGTATTTGATTTAGAAAAATATTAAGGATTTAATTAACGTTTTCTAATGATTTCAGTAAATATACACGCACACATTTTCTAACAGCAAATCATTTTAATGTTTTTCTTTTTTTTCTAGTTATTACTGTAAACAGAAGTATATTTTCTTTGTTTTTGTTTTATTTATAGGATTATGGAAGCTGGTGGCAGGGGTGCTCTTGCGCTAGGATAATGTGTCCATTTATAATGCTCAGATTGCAGTAAGCTGAAGCAGCCGACTGTGGCTTTGAAAAGCTACCCGATCCCCCTTACTAACCAGACTTAGTCTGCTATTTACCCATAGCTGGGTAGGGGGAAAGAGGATTTATACATTTCCCAAGGGTAATTACTCGAATTCGGGCCGAGTTCGAATTCCAGTCGAATCCATTACATTCACTTACGTGCTAATACCCTTGGGGAAAGGTATGAATCATCTTCTTCTCCGCACCCCCACCAGGTATGGGTAAATTGCAGGACAGACTGGGTTCTATAGCCTTGGATGGCAACTGGTCTACCGCAAAAAGAAATAGCAACCTATTGCGAGGAAAAAAAAATCTGCCTCGTCAGTCATGTACCGAAAGATATATGATCGCCTAAGCATGTATCACGCTTGGCACATAACTGACTGAACTTAATTCCCAAATATTTTTCTTCAAATAAGGCTTTTGAAAAGGCGTTATGTAAAATACGAAAACTTCTTCTCCCCACCCCGCTCATCTATGAATAAATAGCAGGACAGCCCGGGTACTGTAGCCTTGGATGGCAACTGGTCTATCGCAGAAAGAAATGGCAACCTACTGCGGGAAAAATAATCTGCCTCGTCAGTCATGTATCGAAAGATACATGATGGCCTATACGTGTACAACGCACGGCACTAAAATTAATTATTATTAAATTATTGCAAGTATTTTTGCTATAAAAATGTATCTTTATACATTTCTATTTTTTAAAATTTTATTTTAGTTTTTTTTTGGGGGGGTCATTATTTGCCCATAACTAGGACCCTGACAGGTGCTACAACGCAGAGTCAGAGTGGACATGGGAACAAAAGCAATTAAGAGGTGTTTCCACTATACTTGAAATCTCCAATCTCCCGATCAGAGTCCTTGCTGCCGGATGTAGTCTATTGGGCCTACACAAAACGCAAGGGGCTAACGAATCTTAGAAGACATGAGGAACAAACATTATCAAGGAGAGAAGACAATAAAAAAAACAAGAATTAAGAAAAGAGAAGATAGCGATTGATATTACATTTAGATTTTTGAAAATCAGAGTTTAAAGCAAGAAGACGGAAGAGAGTTCCACAAATAAGAAGTGCGATAGAAGGAACTGCTAGCATAGAACATACCGTTACATCCAGCCATATCAACCAAAATAATGGTGAGACCGAGCCGCCAATCTAGTACTGCACTTAAATTCATAAAATCTAGGTACCATAGCGGTGGGGGGGAGTTCATCAGAACAATTACCATGAATGTATTTGTAAAAAAAGGCACAGGGAAGATATTTTACGGCAGTGAGAAATTGACTGAAGCCGAGATGCCAGGTCAGGACCAATAACATTGCATCTTACACACACACACACACACACACACACACACACATATATATATATATATATATATATATATATATATATATATATATATATATATATATATATATATATATATATATATATATATAAAGGCACGGTAGGGGTAATGGATAGCAGCTTAGATTGAGGAATCATAGAGCCGAGTTCAATTACAGTCAATCGAATCCATTACATTCACTTACGTGCTGGGAAAGCTATGAACCCTCTTCTTCTCCCTCCAGCTATGGGTAAAATAGCAGGGCAGACTCGGTTCTATAGCCTTGGACGGCTACTGGTCTAGGAGAAGGACAACTCTGAATTCAAAACCTGCGGAGGGTCGTTTGGGGACCTTGTGGCACGTAGTGCACCAGGTCTCTGTATTTGGCCCTTCAAAAAGTGTGGATGGCCCTGCACGAAACCTTCACCACTATAATCAAATCTCATGTGCTGTTTTCGGGCTGTCGGTTTCCTAGGAACTCATCTGCTTGACCCTCATACGTCGAACTCGACGGGAGAGTCGACTTTTATATATATATATATATATATATATATATATATATATATATGAATAATCGCAATTTGTGATTTGGTAAGGATAATTCCAAGGAAATATCAATCCAAAGAAAGCTCAATGTAAATTTTAATTGCAGTGCTTTATAATAATAAACCAAGAAAATTCTTAAAGATTCATTTCGGTTATAATTTATTTCGTGAATACTGTTCTTTTCCACTCCTGGGTAAGACGATAAACTACATCCGCGTCCAGGGTAAGACGATAAACTACGTCCTCCACCAGGGTAAGACGATAAACTACGTCCGTCACCAGGGTAAGACGATAAACGACGTCCGCCACCAGGGTAAGACGATAAACGACGTCCGCCTCCAGGGTAAGACGATAAACTACGTTCCAACAGCGGGGCCTCTGATCGGGAGGCTTTGAGGAGTTTGGAACTACCTCTTAATTGCTGGTGTTCCCAGGTCCGCTTGACCCGGGGTGGTAGCACCTGTTGGGGTCCCAGCTATGGGCAGGTGGTTAACCCTGAAACGGAGGTAAAAAGCATTACGAATGTGTAGAAGTGAGTTTTAGTACCGGGGGTGCTTTGTAGATCGATTATTGCCAGAAATGATTTTTTGAAGAAAGAAAAATGAATAATGCCAGCAGTATGTTTTTGAAAAGATAATATTACCAGCTATACATTTTTGAGGAAAAAAATATTAAGAGAAATAGATTTTTGACAAAAAAAAAAAAAAAACCATTGGGGTGGATGTGCCGTAAACCAAACCAAACCAAACCAAACCAGACCAAACTTTTCTTTTTATCTCTTTAACCGAAAGTTCTTAAAAAAAAGAACATTTTTAAGAATTTTTAACCCGCGGAGATGAATATAAAAATAATCACGAAATAAACTATAACCGTAATGGATTCATAAGTTTTTTCTTGATTTATTATATATATATATATATATATATATATATATATATATCTGATCCAATAAAATGCAACTTTTGGATAATAAGTGCGACATTACTGTAATTATTGAACAATAAAGTTCATGCCACTTTGACAGAAAATTTACCAGTAAAAAAGAATTCGCTCATCACCATATTTGTATAAGAACGCACAATTGTAAAATTTAAATTCAAACCCAGCGTTGCGACTACACGCTCCAAAAACAATAACTCATTTCTAATAGCATTTTTCGGATTACAACAATACATATATTTTCGTTGTCCTCTTATTACTGAGAGTAAAAACAAGAACAAAACCTATTCCATACCTGAGGATGTCTGTATGAACAGACGAAAGCTTGTAAAAATAATAACTCATGCAACAGAAATTTATAGAAACAAGGATTTTTTCATTCATAAACAGGTTCGGGGTTTTTGTATATTATTTGAATTGTTCGCGACGATGGATTTCTCGCCAATTAAATCATTAACCTTTTGTATTTATTTTTTGTATGAATAATTCATGAATATATATATATATATATATATATATATATATATATATATATATATATATAATATAAATAAGATAGACTCGTTTCGAAAAAAACCCTCGAATTTTCGATTTGCTAATCAAATCAATCTCGAGGGAAAAAAGGTTTTAAAAAAAGAAAGAGCTACAAACATGGACTTCTGCCGACAAAAAAAATCGCGCAGATGCAGGTCTGAAGCCCAAAGAAAAAACCCCGATACGAGTAACAACTAACTAACAAAAGAGCTCAATACAACCGTAGAGCAGATATATATATATAAGGAAGAGGTTGCAGACCCGGTAGCATGCAGTGCTGGTTTATTAAAAGGTGGCCTTGTGCCAGACACTACTTATGACTACCGAATCCATAAACAAAGTAAGAATATTAAATGAGTGATCTATAGTGATGAAAAGGGGTCATTTAACACATGCACAAAAATAGTAAAAATATAGATAGCCAGGATTAAACGACAAAATGAGTCTGGTGGAAAACAAATAAGAAATTTTATTTTAATAACAAATAATCTTGTCTCAACAGTGGAGATTATCAGAAAAGGTAAGGTCTGTTTTTAGCCTGTAGGCTGTTAATAATATGTAGAGACTAATAAAATGTTAAGGTTCCGCGCCAAAACAGGAAAAACCAAGATGGCTAAGGCGGGAAAAGTTTCTTCAGAATTAAAGTTCTGGAATAGTGTCTTTTTGTACGAAAGGTGTATGCGTACACAAATAGGAAAAGTACTCACTGCGAGGTTTAATAATGTGTGTGTAATGTTATCTTTTTTGGGAACTGGTTCGTAAAGGTTAGCAGTTTCAAAGGCGTATGAAAAGTTCATCAATCTTCATTGAGGAAAATTCTGCGTTCCCTGATAGTGAACGTAGGGAAATCGAACAAGTCGTTCGCTGAAGGACAAGGGATCAGCCTTAAGAGTGTGGTGCCAGCCGTGTCGTAGACTCTACGTTCCTCTAGTAAGAAACAGAGGACAGTTCGAATTAGTTGTTCGCGTTATGACGAGGCATTATTTCTTACAAAAGTGCGATGACGACAGTGTCGTAGGCTCTCGAAGTGAACAGAGGAAAGGTCGAACTAGTTGTTTGC